GGCTGCCGTCGTCTGGGGCGTCGTCTGGGGATGCTGGCTTTATTCTTCCTGTAAATTCTAAAGTGGTCTGGTCATCGAGATCGTAATTAAGCCCTAGCAGGTCGGGTGTGTAAAGAGGTGTTGAAGCCCTAGAAACATAGAGGGGGTTGGAAATAATGAGGGAAAGCTTTTAGAATTGGTCGTGTTCACTTAGGGTAAATTTTAAAATCGCATTCAGCTTCAGGAACCCTACAATATACGGAAAATTATAACAACAGTTCCTAGTTCTGCTTTTTTCATAATCTCATAAGTCTTCACAAGTCTGAATGAAATGTGATGAGAGAAAGGTACATACACATCGGCCTGCAGAAAAGGAGCTCTTAATTCTGTAACTTGTTTTTTAAAAGTCATTTTAATTAAACCAAGTATTTAAATAAATAAAGAACATGGCATCTGCTCTCGGTGTACACAGTATGTAATTTTCCTACTAGTTCGTATCCTTTCTGTTGGCAGCATAAAATAATTTACCAGTATAAAACTCTTCTGGGGCTCACAAGACCACCTGGCAGAGGGAGAAGCTAGGATGTCAGTAAGCAGGCCTAGCCGATCAGCTGTGAAGGTACAGCCCTCTGGTTTTGACTACAGAGGTGGCTAGGGTATTTATTTTTTTTTATGCCTGGTTTTGCTTAGCTGTGAGAAACTGTGCATTGCTTCTGTCCCAAGTAAGTATATCCAGACAGAAAGTTGGGGAATTTTTCCCCACCTTCAGTTTATAAAAGGCAGTGTAGGAGAGTTTGTCATTAAGGCTCAGTAAGATAGTACTTCAATGTAAGAACAATTTAAGGAAGAATGTGGTTCAAGATATATCTGCCTAAGACAGGCAATCAACAGATCAGTCTTTATAGGCTTGTATCTTTCAGGACTAAGCTTTTCAAAGGATTTATGCTCTTATGGTTTCAAAAAGAAATTTCATTCCCTCAAATATATTGATGTTCGTAACTTCTACAGTAAAAGTCACCTCAGGGCAGACTCTATTCATTGGCAAATGACCATCATAAGGGTCTTGTGCTTTTTAGATCTCACAGTGGCTGCTAACCATGGCCAAAGCCTTGGCTGCTGCTGAAGACTGTGCTGTATAAGAAAGTTCATACTATGATGCCTCTAAGGGCTCACCTGATACCAAAGTGGTATTGAATTTAACTTAAAATATTTTGAAAAAACAAGTTTTCCATCTCAGTCAGCTCTTACTCTGATTTAGTTTAAACAAACCCGAGTGGCTTAAAACTAAAATAAACCTTGCTGCACGCCAACTTACTGCAATACTTTTATTGGAAGGGATGAGCTATTTACGTGAGAGCAAATTTTGCTTTCTTCATATTTTGATAATAGGCAAAGTAAATGTTGTTGATGTTATGCAAAAAATATTTTTATTTTTCTACTTGACAGAATAATAACCATAAACACCTCTAAATGTATATCATTTCAAGGTAATAATACAGTGGGAGATTATATAGAGAGTAGCTGTGAAATTTCACTAACTAGCTGAAGACTTGCTGATTTGCCAGAGTCGCTTTCATGCATATTTGCTTTGCAATTGAGTGTTGTGATTGAAGCACTGGTACATGTGTCTGTGCCTTGCAGTTTGGGCTCTGATGACAGTGAATATACTGCTTGCAGGTTTCAGCAGGTTCCAGGGAGCCTGAGGTGCTTGTCAGGGGGACCTTGACAGGCTGAGAAAAATGTGCTGGCAGAAACTTAAGTGCAGGATTTGCAGGACTTTCAGGGCCCTGCACTTGGAACAGAATGATGTCGTGCAGTCAGCACAGGGCTGGCTGCTGGTCAGATGGAAAATGGCTCCACAGAAAAATAGGACCTAGGCTCCTATGCCAGTTTAGTCCAAGTCACTAGCGTGCCCTTCCAAGGAAGAGGGCCAGCCCCATACTGGGCTGTGCTAACAACAGTGTAGCCGGCAGGCTGAGGAGAGTGGTTCTTGCTTCCATTCAGCACTTGCAAGGTTGCATCTAGATTACTGTGTCCAGTAGGAAAAAGATAATAACATACTAGAGTGAGTCCTTGATATGATTAGCAGGCTGAAGCACATGATACACAAGGAGAAGCTGATAAACTGGGTTTTTATTGCTCTCTTCAGGTATCTAAAAGGAAGGTATGGAGGAGACAGAGATGGACTCTTGTCAGCAGTGCACAGTAGGATGAGAGGCAGCAGATGCAGGCAACAATAGAAGAAATTCTGGCTAGGTATTAGGAAAAATTTTCCATTGCGACAATAGCAAAGCCCTGGAACAAGGGCTCAGAGAGATGAGAGTGTCCATCCCTGGAGATACTCTGAAGTTGATTGGACAAGGGTCTGGGCTGGCTGATCTAAGTCACTCCTGCTCTGAGCAGGTGTTTGGATCAGATAACCTGTAGAGGTCACCTGTTATAATTTCAGTGGAGTTTCATGTGCTAAGCAAGAAAAGATTATTGCTTCAATCTCACAATTATCTTTTTCTTGTCCTCTAATAGTGTCCCACCTGCTGATGAACATCTTCTGAGATTAGACATTCAGCTAGTAGGAAGAGAGAAATATCTCTGTGGGCTCAGCGGAGGCTTTTTTGTAATACACAATACCCTATGTGAAACACTGAAAGCATATTATTAGCTTGGATAGAAGCTCCAGCAAGAGGCATATAGAGAAGGACGTAGGTCTGCAAATAGCAGGACTGACACTCTAGCAAGTATTTAATATTCAAACTATATCTGTTTAGTTTACATTAGCCTGAAACCCTTACTGCGAATTTATTACTTGAAGGAAAAGGCATAAAATACCCTGATAAAAAAGATGTATCGTTTCAATTCAGAAAAGAATGAGCTACATTACAATAGCATTAGCAATAGTGACTGTCTGCTTCCTGGGTTAATAGTCTCATTGGTTTTGGTAGAGCTGCTTAAGGAGAAAAAGTTCAATATTGTCCAAGTTGGAAAATTAGTTTATACAGCTACTTGCTGAATGTGTACTGATGTTAGAACAAAGTAGTATAAATTCTGGTTTAATCTTTGTGTTTGTGTGTACTCATTTTCAGACTGCTGCAAGTGAAGAGAGAACCTCTGGTCATGATTTCCTTGTTGGACATGTTTACAGGGGTGTGGAGACATTGGGAAAGGAACTTTTTATGTATTTTGATCAGAAAGCTTTGAGGTAAGCGGTGAGAAAAAGGTTTCCTATGTGTTCAGACTGTATGTATTTGGGGGGGTCATCTTGTTCCTGCTAATGTCAGTTTCAGAGAAACTTTTCAGCAGCCTCTCTGCAGTGCTGGAAATACTGGATGTAGTCACATTTTCAGATAATTTATTGCTTTTTTCTTAGTCTAATATTCCATGAAAGGTATCAGAAAAGGACAATTATTCCTTGAAACACTTTGTTTCAAACAGGACATTGCATTTTCCAGGCACAAAACTCAGGGAAGTGCATGCATTTACAGTTACTTAATGTCTTCCACTACAAACTGTACTTGCAATTTGTTTTAACTTTCCTTAAGAAATTTAGACTGAAATTCTGGGCTTAACTTTTAATTGTTCAATTGCTCTGATAATAAACTTGTGTGAAAAAAATGCCAAACTTAAAATATTCTGTGTGTGTACATTTATGCTGCCTTTCTTTCTTTAAACAGTATTAGCAACTCTGTGGAAGTATGGTTTGAAATTTGGCAGATTAATAGTTTGGGTATCATAAATGTAACTCAACTTCCTAGTGAAACCATGTCTCCTAGACAAATGGTAAAACTGCCAAATCATTGTTTGTTCATGCTTTGCAGAGCTTATTAGGGGTTTGTTGTCATGTTTAGGATTTTGTCATAAGCTTTAACCCCTTGGGCTTGTAGTAGACACCAAGCTTGTATTTGGCATCTAGTTTACTTTTTCTAGTCCAATATGCTTCTCTACTGCAAAGTCAACTAAAAATAAATTAATCAAATGCGCAGTGTAATGGATAATTAAAAAATTCCCCTCTTGTTCTTTATGGTAATTAATATAGAATGCATAAGTAAAGTCCTTACTTTTAATAGGTAAGGCTTGCATTTAGTGCTTTTCTTTTACCCTTCTAATTGCAACATAATTCCAATCTTTCTAGATCTTTAAAAGGGAAAACGACATCACTTCTATGTTCAGCGTAGTCTTTGTCGCCTAGTGACAAAGGTGTAAGGTCATGATTTTTGTTCATTTAAGACTGATAATATCAACACATACCTTACAATTCTGTGACATAATATTTTGCCAGTGACACTGCTATTACAGGAGAGAGATGGAACTGAAAATGCTTGGCTGCAAGTACAACAGTTTACAGTAGTTGCATGCTGGATAAATCAAGGCAGTGATATATTAATAGTTACCTGGGGTGATGTGTAGACTGATCTTACTTCTAGTGTCAGAGAAATGCAACTAGTCTTACAAGCACATACGAGTCTTTACATGACAATCATAAAAGTAACTAGTAGGACAGGACTGCATATGTGTTTAAAGCTACCCATATTTGTGAAGGATAGGATTATGGTCCTAATCAGTTTCTCTTGCTTTGTATTGTGCTTTATTAAATAGAAACAGAGAAGAAATAGCAGTTTTAAAAAAGAAAAAGATAAGTCAGTTATAAAGGAAGATTAAAAAAAAAACAGGCAGGGGATGTAACTGATACAGATGTTAGCCTTTTCTAGATGACTATTGTATGTATTACAAATTGATTGGATAAGCAAAGGAGTAAATTACACAATAAGAAAACATTGTTTCAACAGACTGAATTACATTGTCAGAAGAAAAAAGCTATTACTAAGGAACATAAGTAAGCATTTTGCAAAAGTTCTCTTTAAAGAGAAAGAAAATGTGGCCAAGTCCTAGTAGGGGAAATATAATCCTTTGACCCTGAAAGATCTTAAATATTCTTAAGCTTTCTAGTCAATGCAATAACTTGCTGTACTTAATGAAAACAACCTTCAGTGATTGTTTGATTATAAGCTTAAAAGTGTCATCAATTTATCAGTTACTGTAGCTCTAGAAACTGTATTTAGGAAGTCCTTTAGACACGGCACTTGTTTGATTGGAAACATTGTAGAAGTTATGTACAGGAAAGGTCTCCTCTACACAAGAGACAGAAGTTACTTATCTGATTATCAAGATCTTCATTCTCATGTTTTAAAAATGTAAGTTGTACATCTTAGGGATGCAAAGAATAATAAGAAGGGATTCTACAGGTATATCAGCCGGAAAAGGATGGTTAAAGAAAGCATACCCCCGCTGATGAGCGAGACTGGCAAGCTGGTAACAGCAGATGAGGAGAAGGCTGAGGTACTCAACACCTTTTTTGCCTCAGTCTTCACTGGCAGCCTCTCTCCTCACCCCTCCCGAGTTGATGGATGGCATGAGGGGGACCGGGAGGGCAAAACCCCTCCTGCTGTAGGAGAAGATCGGGTTTGTGACCTCCTGCGGAACCTGAATGCACATAAGTCCATGGGACCTGATGAGATGCATCCCAGAGTCCTGAGGGAATTGGCCAATGTAGTCACCAAGCCCCTCTCCATGATATTTGAAAAGTCATGGCAGTCAGGTGAAGTCCCTGGTGATTGGAAAAAGGGAAACATTGT